CTATGCTACCTTTTCAATGGGTGTCAAAAATACTATTATGTGTACAGCTGTTTCAACTGCCACCTACTTTGTACGTTATTGAATAACTACAATAATGTCATATTAAGGAGATGGGAAGAAATTAAAAGACGGACACCTAATCATCTCAAGTATATCCTTATTTTATACATATATATATTTTATAATACGGGTATTGAAGCTTTTAACTTAGTTAATCTTATAAATATTTGAAAATCACCTCATTTATAAATATAAAGTAAGACTTCACTTTTAAAGGTAGTAAGTGTAATTTATTGAAATTATTTATATTCAAATATTATTGTAAGAATTCAAATTCACTCTTTTTTTTTTTTTGGTAAATAGTCAAATTCACTTTTTAACATAATTCAAATGATTGTTTAATCACTTCAATTAACCCAATATGAATTGGTATATTCTTATTGCTATTATGCTCTTTTGCTCAAGTGGAAGGGTAGTAGTAAGTTTATTCATTATTGAATTGAATTTAGGTTTGAATACTTTTAATGGAGTATGATATTACTCTAGAGGTTGGAATTTAATTGGACATGATGATTTTCTGGAACAATGACATCTTGTATACGTACCAGACGGTAGACGTAGACTCCTACAGTAGTAGTACTCCTTTGGAATAAACATTGAATATCATTGTCTTGACATTCGGCAGAAAATTTGCCAAAAAACAACCCATGGTCCAAAGAGAAAAGTCTCAACCATATATAGTCCAACAGAAGACAATTTTCTCTTTTCTTTTTTTTTTTCCTCTCATGAATCGATTTCTTTTTAATGTTTGAAAATTATCACAGGGTTCAGCAATTCTGTTCAATTTCAATATTGCACTTGGGGCTTGCAGCTCAATTGACAGTCGGTGCACATTACCTTGCACTAGAGCAAGTTGTCAATTTTTTGTGGTGTAAAACTTTCCTATCGCAAAAATTTTCATTTGTTTAGATAAAAAATTTAAAAATAACAAAATTGAAATTTTAGAACATTTAATTAGTATAATTTCACCTTAAATAAAATTAGTAATAAGATTTAGAGCAATACTCAAAAAAATTAATTTTCTTAAATACATTACATTGATATAAATGATATGCCCTTAAACTTACTTTAAAAAGTAATACTTTTAAAATATGTAAAATTTGATTTAGAGATATTCTAACAATAGATATAAAAAAATAATAGTAGTAATCAAGTTCAGACTGAGTTTAGAAAACATTAATTGCGCTGAGGTTAAACTTGGTTACTCGAACATTTCACACTTCATTTGAGGGTGTTGCGCTATAGTTATTTTGTGATTTTTTTATTTTTTTTATTAAAATATATAAATATTAATTAAAAATGATAAATTTACTATTTTAAATAAGATTTTGTGGGGAAAATGCCTACACAAAATGAGAAGTGTAGAAAAATGAAGCCTAACCCTTGAAGAGCTTGATAAAACATTCCAATAAATAGTCATTTTTTAGAGTTTCGATTATATTGAATCTTGGAAAATGGATCTTTTGATGTAACCCTAATATTAGGATACACCCGATTCAAGAGTTAGTTTAGTGCAATTTGAATCATAGATTTTTTTTTTTTTTTTTTAACAAGTTCCACTAATATGTTATAAAACCTAAATTCATGATCTTTTATTTTTACTAACAAAATACTACTACTAAATTATTTAAATAACTAACCAAATTGTAAACATTTTCGATATATTTTTCTATGATTTGGATTAATCCCACCAACCCAAAACTTGATAAGGTAAGTGCAATTTCCCTAATTTAACAATATTTGTATTCATTAATCATTAAAAACTTAAACCCTTTAAAGAACGTAATCCATTTCTGGCTTTTTCCTCCCTAAGCGCAGCGCTGCGCCTAAATCAATTCTCCTTCTCTTCCCTGCTCTCCTCTCAGCCTCTCGCAAATCTAGTCTGTCGTACAACGATGAAGGCATAAATTCTCGATCCCCATAGGGGATCCCACCGTGGGTGGCATGGACATTCTGTTTCCATCTCCGTGTTCCATGTGGGATCCGCTGTCCTCAAAGTTGGTGACATCTCTGCCTTCCAGTCCTGGTTACCACATTCCAGAATATTTTCTCCTAAATTGATTTGCAAACTTCAAAAGGTAAATCAAATTTTTTTTATGGATCAAAGTTTTCATTAGCCTCTTGATTATAGTTCTTTTAATCTGATCACCAACTCTGAAAATTTAAATATAATTTTCTTAAGTCACATGTTTAATCCTTTTTAATGATATATGATTTCACTATACGCAAAAAAAAAAAAAAAAAAAAGGGTCATCTGTTTAATCTCTTTGTTTTATTACATTTTCTTATTCACTAATTACCTGTGATTTAGTAGATAGATCA